CTGGGGGCAAGGGCTGTGTGAAGGTGTGGGATGTGGGGCAGCCGGGCACCAAGACAGCTGTGGCTCAGCTGGACTGTCTGGTAAGGAGGGACGCGCTGCCCCTCTGGCACAGTTTGTTTCCCTGCTCTGTGACACCGTGCTGTGGTGAACTGGGGGTCTGGGGTCCCCGTTGGGGACCTCAGGGGTGCAGGGGGCATCTGAAAGCGATGATGTGCACCAGGGAGAGTCTCTGTGTGTGTTTCTAAGTGGGGGCGGTGTGGGGCTGCTGGGGAGGGAAGGTGGCTCCGTGCTGCCAGTGTGCTCCCCTGTGCCACCCTGTCTGTTCTGAGTGCCCCAAGCCCTTGGGGGGCTTTTACATGCCCCCCACACACACCTTGGCACTGCTTTGTCTGGTGGCACCTGCCCTAAGGCAAGCCTTTGCCAGTGTCAGTCCACCTGGCCAAATACTTCGTAAGGGCCAGAATTGCAAGGGCTGAAGCATCACTTGGGTTCAGCTCTGTCCTTTGTGCTTTTGCTTGTGTTAGTCTGGCTGGAGGCAGAACTCCTATTTCTTTTAAAAATAAATGAAATGGACTGTCAGACCACAGCAACTCAGTAGAGCCAAGCTGGCGGCACAGCCATCACCTGAGAGTATTTTTAACCTGTGTTCTTTGAGGTTTATTTTAATCGGGCTGCTGGAACAGGAGTCCCTGTGCCTGCTTTGAACAGCCCAAACCCAAGTCCTTTCCTCAACTAGCTGGCCTTGGGGCCTGGGCAGCCTGACAAATATTATTCCTGGACGGTGCTGACCTTGAAGATACAGATGCATAAACAAGGAAATGACTGAGTCATGATAATCTCAAGCTGCATCAGAAATTCAAGAGCAGGGGAAAATGGTGTTAGTGCTTGGAGCCGTGGGCTGTTTCAGCCTTGTTGGAGCTGCCTCCCCAGCTGCCCCTCAACTCCTCCAGCACTGGCCTTGTCTGCCAGGCAGCTGCTGGCAGGGATGCTGTGGGGCAAGGGTGTCCCCTCAGCTGCTCATAGTGCAGTAATAAACTGGAGGGCTCCTGGGGGGGGCTGACTGGGGCGGCTGATCTGGGCAGGGGACAGGGTGGGCTGCACAGCTGCCCCTGCCCCAGCCCTGCTGTCTTGAGGGGGTGGCTGTGGGTCTGCCCTGGTGCTGCTGCTCCTGCCCTCAGGACAAGCTGCCGGCCCCGGGGTGCCCAGACAGACTGGGATGGGTGCAGAAGGGCTGGAGGGGAAGGGATTAACGGAGTACTCCCTCCTGCACCCCAGAACCGTGACAACTACATCCGCTCGTGCAAGCTGCTGCCTGACGGCCGGAGCCTGATCGTGGGGGGGGAGGCCAGCACCCTCTCCATCTGGGACCTGGCAGCCCCCACGCCCCGCATCAAGGCCGAGCTCACCTCCTCTGCCCCCGCCTGCTACGCCCTGGCCATCAGCCCCGACGCCAAGGTCTGCTTCTCCTGCTGCAGCGACGGCAACATCGTGGTGTGGGACCTGCAGAACCAGACCCTGGTCAGGTGAGCCCGGGGCAGGGGGAGCGTGAGCAGGGCTGCTCAGGGCTCCTCAGGCCAGAGACCGCTCAGTCCCTTTCAGGACATCCCCACCCCTCCCCGTGCTCTAACCCTGGCCCTGGGACAGTCCCTGTCCTTGCAGCAGGGATCTTCTGCTCCTCTCTGCGGGGTGCTGCCCTGGCCCACGCTCTGCACTGCAGGAGCTGGCAGCCCTGACGGCTGTGCCCTCCTCTTCTTCATCCCCCTCTTTCCCAGGCAGTTCCAAGGGCACACGGATGGTGCCAGCTGCATTGACATCTCTAACTATGGCACCAAGCTGTGGACAGGGGGGCTGGACAACACGGTGCGGTGCTGGGACCTGCGGGAGGGGCGGCAGCTGCAGCAGCACGACTTCAGCTCCCAGGTAGGCACTGGGGCCGACCGGGAGCACCACGGAACTGGCTGGGACCTGCTGTGCCACTGCCTGACCCTGTCTCTCCCCCCAGATCTTCTCCCTGGGCTATTGCCCCACAGGAGAGTGGCTGGCAGTGGGCATGGAGAGCAGCAACGTGGAGATCCTGCACGTTACCAAACCGGACAAGTACCAGCTCCACCTCCACGAGAGCTGCGTCCTCTCCCTCAAATTCGCCTCCTGCGGTAGGCACGCCTGTCCCAGCCCCCTGGTGCTGCAGCGTGGTGGATACTGTCTCCTCTCCTGGCCGTGTGTCCCAGGGCTTGTTGTGCTGTGGGCAAGCACTGGCTCCTGTAGCCAGCCCAGTCCTGTGTGGATGCCAGTGGTATCCCTCAGAGAAGGGGTGTCCGTCCCTCGTGGAGCAACACGCGTGGCTGCACCCTCAGCTCTGTTGTCCCAGGACTCGCCTTTGTGTTCCTTAAAAGAGCCCCTTGGCTAACGAGCAGCAGAGACATTGCCTTCTTGTCCCCGCCTTGTGTTACACGACCTGGGCACCTTTTGCTGCAGGA